ACTAAGAACTGGTGGCCAGGAGCAGACTTGCAGAATGTGCCCTTTGGAGATGTAAATTATTATATATGCCTGAGTGGGTTTTTTTGTTTGTGTGTTTTTTTTTAAAAGCTAAAGTGGATAGAGAGAAATACTTTTAACTGATGGTATATGAAGGGGATTATAATCAATGTAATGAAACAAGTTATTTGAATTGTTGAATGTGAAACTGATGATGTGCCCTGTAAACTTTCACTCAATCCCCAATAAAAACCTTAAAGTAATAAATAAAAAAAAAAACTTGCTCTCGGCATAATTACATGTTAGATAAAATGTCTTAAGGTGCCTCTCTATCCTCTTTCTGTTTCTTTTCTTCAGCTTACCTTTCACAACTCTGGTGTGGCTCTGTAGGGTAAACATTGGACTGCTTACTAAGGTCTGCAATTCAAACCCACCAGCCAGTCCACGGAAACCTTCCACATTGTCGCTGTGAGTCCTAACCAACTGGACAGCATTTTACAACAGCAACTTCTATTATATATGGGATGTCAGAAGAGACACTGAAATTTGCTCTCCAGCGTACAGATGCTAAAGCAAATGGAAGAAATGAGGAAGGCCAAGAGCTCAACAGAAAAATTTTCAAAGATCAGCTCGAGAAGATAAAGCCAAATATTACAATAAAATGTGCAAAGATCTGGACTCAGAAAACAAGAAAGGAAGAACACGCTCAGCATTTCTCAAGCTGGGGGAACTAAAGAGAAAATTCAAGCCTCGATATTGAAAGATTCTCTGGGCAAATTATTGAATGATGCAGAAAGCATCAAGAGCAGAGGGAAGGAATACACAGAGTCACTGTAACAAAAGGAAATGGTTAATATTGAATCATTTCAAGAGGTAGCAGCATATGGTCAGGAACCAATGATCCTGAAGGAGGAATTCTAAGGTGCCAGTATTGAAGGAATTGGCAAAGAACAAGGCACCAGGAATTGATGGAATAAAAATTAAAATCTTTCAAGAAAGTGAATGGGCACAGGAGGCACTCAGTCATCTCTGCCAAGAAATTTGAAAGACAACTATCTGGCCGACTGATTAGAAGAGATCTGTATTTGTGCCCATTCCAAAGAGAGGTGACCCAACGGAATGCGGAAATCATCGGACAATCTTTTTGATATCCCATACGAATTTAGTTTTGCTAAAGGTAATACAGAAACAGCTGCAATCAGTACATTGACAGAGAACCTCCAGAGGTTCAAATCGGATTCAGAAGAGGCCGTGGAATGAGGGATATCATTGCTGATATCTGATGGATCTTGGCTCAAAGCAGAGAATATCAGAAAGATGTTTACCTGTGCTTTATTGACTACGCAGAGGCTTTCGATTGTGTGGATCATGACAAGCTATGGACAGCATTGTGAAGTATGAGTATTCCTGAACACTTAATTGTGCTCATGAGGAATGTGTACCTGGACCAAGAGCCAGTTGTTCAAACAGAACATGGGAACACTGTATGTTTTAAAATTGGGAAAGGTGTGAGACAGGGTTGTGTTCTTTCACCATACTTATGCTGAGCAAATAATCCAAGAAGCTGGGTTCTATGAAGGAAAATGTGGCATCAGGATTGGAGGAAGACTCATTAACAACCTGCAATATGTACATGATACAACCTTGCTTGCTGAAAGTGAAGAGGATTTAAAGCATTTACTGATGAAGATCAAAGAGCACAGCCTTCGGTATGGATTACATCTCATTGTAAAGGAAACAAAAATCCTCACCACTGGACCAATAAACAACATTCTTATCAGTGGAGAAAAGATTGAAGTTGTCATGGACTTCATTCTTCTTGGATCAACTATCAACACTCATGGAAGCAGCAGTCAGGAAATCAAAGGGTGTATTGCATTAGGCAAATCTGCTGCACAAGACCTTTTTAAAGTGTTGTTTTAAAAAGTTGTTTAAAGAGCAAAGATGTCAGCTTGAGGACTAAGGTGCGCCTGACCCAAGCCATGGTATTTTCAGTAACCTCATATGCATGCGAAAGCTGGACAGTGAATAATGAAGACTGTAGAAGAATTGATGCTTTTGAGTTATCGTGTTGGAGGAGACTATTGAAAGTTCCATGGGCTGCCAAAAGAACCAATAGATCCGTTTGGAAGAAGTGCAGCCAGAGTGATCCTTGGAGGCCAAGATGGTCAAACTTTGTCTCTCATACTTCGGGCATATTTTCAGGAGGGACCAGTTGCTGGAGAAAGATACCATATTTGGTAAGGTGAAGGGTCAGAGAAAAAAAGACCCCCAACGAGATGGATTAGCCAAGTGGCAGCATGGATGGACTCAAGTGTGGCAACAGTGGTGAGGTTGGCCCAGGATCGGGCAGTGTTTCGTTCTGCTGTGCATAGGGTTGCTATGGGTCGGTACCGACTCGATGGCACCTAACAACAACACCTCTTTTCATAGGGAAACAAAGTCACCCTAAGGTATAGATGACTGTTAAGTTGAGGGAGGGGAAGAGAGATACGGACGTTAACAATGGAACTGAAAATGTTTTATCTTAATAATTTTTGGTCTGGAGCCAATTTATCTAGTTAGAAAAAAATTTCAAATTTCTGTTAATTTTTAATGTTATCATTGGCAATATTAATCAAATAAAATTTTTACTGGCTTACCTGTATGAACAAAGACGTTTCTAAATGGGAAAAAAGAGAATTTGTGAATCTGCCGAAACTGGATATGTTTTGATGATAATGCTTCAATGACTGTTGTAAATGTTTTAATAAACTTGTCGTGGAATTCATCAGAAGTAAGCAAAAGGTCTCTATGGGTTTTAATCTTTGGAAATACTGTGATCTATATTGTTGTTGTTAAGTTCTGTCGAGTCAGTTCTGACCCATAGTGACCCTTGCAGTTCCAACTGACCCTGTGCTTATTTTATAGTGCCATACCAGGACTCCATTGTGAGATATATTTATAATTTATTTCCTAGTTAGTATATTTTATAGTCAAAGTTATCCTATTGTTTGTTAGAACAAGAGATTCTAGGGTAATACTACTAATTTCCATAAATATGGTAGCTCTCCATATTGGTGCTCGTTATTATTTTTCACATCCTTGTCTGGTATGTTGTTGTGAGTCGCGGAGTCCGTTCCAGCTCTCAGCAACCCTGTATAGAATGTCTGAGAGCTGCTGGTGGGTTTGAGCTTGCGTATCCTACAGTGCTTACCCTACAGTGCCATACCCTGGCTCATATCTGGTATATCGTATGTCATTATTGTATCTGGGAAGTTCAAAATACATACATTTTAGGTAACTAGACGAGCAGTTCTAACACATTTCATATATAAAGTCATGTTCTTTACTTTTAGGGTATGCTTGTCTAATGTAAGGTAAAACTTGGAACTGGGAATACTCAGCTTCATCCTTTTTACTTTTCCCCACTCAGGAAGGTTCCTGACCAGACATGGGTACAGTGTGATGAGTGTCTTAAGTGGAGGAAGCTTCCTGGCAAGGTTGATCCATCTACATTACCTGCAAGATGGTTTTGTTACTATAATTCCCATCCAAAATACAGGTAAAGTTCTTAGACTCCATAGTATGTTTGAGATCTAACCCTTTATTTGTTTCTATTTCAAAAATACTTTTCACTCCAGCCCACACTTTACACTCTCTCTCCACCCTGACATTCAAGCACCTCTGTTAACTGGTCCTACCATCCCTATGCAGCCTTATTTTTCGTTGTACCTTAACAATAGCCCTATGGTTTAACCAGGACTGTGGTTTCACTATTCCCACACTTGTTGTTATGTGCCGTAGAGTTGGTTCCAACTTGTGGAAATCCTGTTTAGGGTTTCCGAAGAGCTGCTGGTGGGTTTGAATCACTGACCTTGCAGTTTCAAACTGATGTTGTGGCCCAGTGCTTTAACCTACAGCAACATAGCAGGACTCCCACATGTGCCAATGCATATTTACTTCTTGATTTTGTATAATTCCTCTTGCTTATTACCTCATGTATTCCAACTGCTTATCCAAATTACATACCGCTGAGGATCTTCTATGCTACCCTTTTCCTGTTGACAGTAATTTGCAGTGATCTTTGTCTGACTTCCTATGGTATCATTCCTTGACAATTTCCACATACTCTTATATTTTTTGGAGGGTTTTCATGTGTCTGTGCTTTGACTTTTCAAGACATTGTGTATATTCTTTGAGAGCAATGGTCCTTCATTCTAGGTTGATATGGTGATTTTCTTCCTATACTTAATATACCTGAGTCTCTGTTACAGTACTTACTGTACACTGAAATATTTATGTGTTTATCTTACTAGTATGTTATATGCCGCTTGCAGCATCTTACATCGATTATGTTGTTGTTAAGTGCTGCTGAGTCAGTTACAACTCATAGAAACCCTGTATAGGGTTTCTGAGGCTAAATCTTTGTGGTAGCAGAAATCTTCATCTTTCTCCTACTAGTGGGCTTGAACCCCGAATCATGTGGTTCTCACAGTTCATTCCTTATCCTACAGAGCCACTGTACTCCCTTATGTATTACAGCATATCCATTGAATTGTAAACTTCAATTTAACAAATATTTATTGAATTGACTAGGTAGTCTATAGTTCATAATAATAGGTTCAAATGTAACTTGCTTTAAAAATTATTCTCTATTCGCAGGATATGTGCTAAAACATATGGTTGGTTTGAACCACAGGGTCGGCAGTTCAAACTCACCAGCCACTCCTCAGAAACCCTGTACAGGGTCGCTATGAGTTGGAAGTGACTTGGTGGCACTTAACATCAACAACAAATGTGCTAAAATGGAATATGCTTTTTAGGGGGGAAAAAAGTTTTAAAATGGAGAAAATTTAATAAAGTCAACAACAGGTCTATAATGGAGCTGTTGGTGGCTTAGTGGGTTGTGCGCTGGACTGGTAACCACAAGATCAGCAGTTCAAGTCCACCAGGCACTCTGGGGGAGAAAGAGAGGCTTTCTGTCTTGGTGTAGCACTGTGGGATAATGCACGGGACTGCAAAGTCAGTTTAAACCACAAGGTCGGTGGATCAAACTCACCAGCCACTCCTTGGAAACTCTATACAAGGTTGCTAGGAGTCAAAATTGACTTGAGAATTCTTAAACAACAACAAAGATTACAGCCTCGGAAACCCTACATAGGGTTGCTATGAGTTGGAATAGACTCCATGCACACCACCACCACCAGGTCTATAGTGGAGTCCTGATGTGGCGCTGTAGGATAAGCATTGGACTGCTAGCCACAAGATTGATGGTTCAAACCCACCAGCTGCTTCTCAGAAACCCTATACAGGGTCACTATGAGTTGGAACCAACTTGAAGACATTTAACAACAATAGGTCTATAATAGGAACCTCGGTGGCACAATGGGTTAAATGTTTGGCTGTTAAGGCAGTCTGTGAAGATTTATAGCCCTATGGGTAATTCTACTCTGGCCTAAAGGTTCACTATTAAAGGTATTTGAATTGAAGGCAGTGGATATGGTTTTATTTAAGGTCTACCATGTGTAACTCACCAGCTGCTCCTTGGAAACCTTATACAGGGTTATTTTGAGTCGAAACCAACTTGATAGCACTTAATAACAACAAGAACATCATGTGTAAGCATTTTCCCATAGATTTCCAGGTGTGCCTAAGCACCTCTCCCTGGAACAGAAATGGGATTGTGTGATTAGAATATGGAGCTGAGTGTTTTAGAAGTCTTATTTCTGAATCCTGTCTCTCCTGCCAGTTTTCCCTTAGTCTGGGCCACTTTGCCACCCTACGAAATGGGTATAACATAGCTTAATAAAGATGTTACTTTTAATTGTTTCTAATATTATTTTTGGCTATAGATTAAGTTTTCTAGTACTTTTCAGTTTTATCTCCTAAAATTTTCTTCTTCATGATGTATATATATCAAGTGCTTTTTCAACTATTGTTGTTGTTATTGTTTAGTGCCGTCGAGTCGATCCCGACCCATAGTGACCCTGTGTAGGGTTTCCAAAAAGCAGTTGGTGAACTTGAACTTTTAACCTTGCAGTTCAAATAGAATCTTCCTTTTTCTCCTTTTAGTCTATGTTCAGTTCTTTTATTTATTTGTTTGTTTGTTACAATATAATCTTACTGCTACATTTATCATAGCTTCTGATTTTTTCTTCTTCAGACATCATTACCTAGTCTCAGGGACCCTCCTGCTGCTGGACTGCATCTTAGAAATTAATTTCTTAATATATGAGCAGCCAAAGACCTGCTTCTAGTCTCAGAAATATTCCGTTTATAGAACTTCAAGCAAGTCTCTCTCTCCCTTTTTTTTTTTTCTTTTAATGTTTTTATTGTGAATTGAGTGAAAGTTTATAGGGTAGATCATCAATTTTTACATTCAACAAATCATATACTTTGTTTCATTACAATGATTATAATGCCCTCCATGTACCATCAGTTAACAATATTTCTCGCTATTCATTTTAACTCTTTTTTTTTTAAATAAAAAACAATAAATTACCAAAAGGCACATTCTGAAAGCCTGCCTCCTGGCCACCAGCTCTCAGTCCCTCTCTTTCTCTAAGACTAGAGTCTTCAGCTGCTCCCCCTGTTCATGTCCCCGTCTCTGTCCCCATCACTGGTTTAGCTAATTCTCTGGATAAGGTCTCGCAATCCACTTGCACTCTTCTCCCTTGATGGTCCTAGGGTCCTTTTTTCTGGACTTTAAGATGAACTATTCCCCCATTTTTGTTACAAAACTTCTACTTTGCAATTGTGATAGTCACAGTTAGTCATGATAACATTTACTCATTATTGAATCTTAAGAATCTTATCCCCATCTCTTTTCACCAGAACCATCTAGACAAAACTGTTCAGTTGGGACTCTGTCTTACCCCCGTACACTCTTAAACTCCTTTTTTTTTTTTTGGTAAAATAAGCTTTTATTGTGAACTGAGTGATAGTTTATATGGGAGAGCATCAGCTTTGATTGCAGTGATTTCAATCCCCTCCATGCGTCATCATTCAACAGCGTTTGCTTCCTGAAAAATCCCTCTGTTTTTTTGTTTGTTTTTTGATGTACGCTGAAGCACTCAAGAATATATAACCATTCAAGCAACTGAAGGGTATACCCTGCAAGCCTGCCCCCTGCTGCCAGCACACAGCTCCTCTCCCTCCTTGAGTCTAAAGTCCCCAGCCAATCCATCTCTCCATGTCATTGTCTCTGCCTACATCTCTGGCATCGCTGCTTCTCTTCTCCCTTGATGATCCCAGAGTCCTCTGCTCCTGGACTGCAAGATCATCCACTCCCCTCCTTTTGTTACAAAACATCTACCTTTACATTTGCAACACTCACGGTCAGTCCTGATAGCAGTTATTCATTATTGAACCACAAGAGACCTATCCTAACCATGTCCTTTCACCAGTCCTGTCCAGACAGGTTGGAAACTACTCAGTGGAGATTCTACCTTTCCCCGTACCCTCTGAAACTAGGCTCCCTCTTAAAAAAAACTTGTAAGCCAGTCACTTAATGCTTTTGTTGCCCCCCTCCCCCATTTTGGTCTAAGTAGCCCATCCCTGTCAACCCTGTATACATAAGGGGTGGAAGTGATCCTTGCTGTAAAGATTCATTCCCTCTTTTAAACTACTACATCCATAAGCATAGGTCAAGTTCATCAAATTGTAGTGGATTACACTCTTTTTCCTCCTCTTCCTTCTTCTAGTCGAATTCTGATCAGTCATTGAAGCTAGGTCAGATGGTTACTATGTGCAAATATGGGGTCGTTCTTGTGCATCTCTCCTCACTTCACATCAGCTAGATGCTTCACTCTCCGCTCTAGTCTTCTGTGACTATGTCCTTGGGCTCAGGAGTCCCCAGGTCTCACTATACTGCTAGCCAACCAAGTTGCAATCCAGGTTGACAGGAGTCCATTGAATGTGGTCGGACTTAGCTCACAGCTTCATTGCTGTTTTTCCCTTACTTCCGCTTATTGATAGACCAATGTGGTCACCAGCAAGATTACATGCCAAGCAAGTCTCTATTATGCTTGAACTTTCCTGTGTAAAAATAGACATTGTACTTTTTCCTGTTTAGCATAATGTGAATCTTCAGAGAAAGGTGACTTATATATATACCAGAATAATTACATGATGTGATTCTTTGAAATGAAGAGCTATGAAGAGCTACTACAGGTTAGCCTGCACACAGGTTTTTGTGATATGGTAGGATCTGATTTCTAATGTTAAAGGATTGTTAACCTGCCTTGTCATATTTCTGAACAAAGGTAAAGAGCACATTGTACCTTGAATAGATGATTTCTTCTCTCTACTGCAGGAGATGCTCTGTTCCAGAGGAACAACACCTCATTGATGAAAACCTGCACTTGAGCAAAGCTAAGAAACAGTTGAGTATTCCTGAAGAAGGTATTCTATATCATAGAGTAGAGGAGACTGAGATCCTAATAGGATGGGGGAGTTTTGAGAAGGCAGATGATGATGGTGGTGGTGGTGGTGGTGGTGGTGGTGGTGATGATGATGATGATGATGGTGATGGTGATGCTGATGATGATTTTAGTTCTTAATGATTTTCCTCCTCACATCTCTGCTCTTCCAATCCTTTTTTCCTTCTTACCATCTTCTGAATGTCTCAACTAGTATTTACATAGATAGATAGATAGCTGCCGTCGAGTGGAGTCCAACTCATGGCAACCTTATGTACAACAGAACGAAAAGCTGTGCGGTCCTGCGTCATCCTCACAATCGCCGGCATGATCGAGTCCATCGTTGAGGCTATTGTGCCAGTCCATCTCACCGAGGGTCTCCCTCCCCCTCCCTGGCCCTCTACTTCACCAAACAGGATGTTCTCCTCCAGCGATTCCTGATGACGTGCCCAAAGCAAGCGAGTCGGACAGTGTTCTGTTATAACCCATTGATCCATAAGGTTTTCATTGGCTATTTTTTGGAAGTAGATTGCCAGGCCTTTCTTCCTAGTCTGTCTTAGTCTGGAAGCTCCGCTGAAACCTGTCCACCATGGGTGACCCTGCTGGTATTTGAAATACCAGTGGCATAGCTTCCAGCATCACAACAACACGCAAGCTACCACAGTACGTGGTTTTTTGTTTTTGTTTTTCCAACTAGTCTTTAGTCCCTTTTTATTTGGTGGGGCATACTAAATCTCTTCAGTAGCATGGTTCAGGAAGGAACCTTTAGTTACTCAATGGAGCCGATGATATTTCTAATTTTGAAGAGACATTATAATCTAAGTCTAGAATTGATAATCCATTTCAAATTGAGACGTTTTATGAGTGAACTAAATAACAGTTTTATCTTCTAGAGATCAGACTGTTGAGAAGAAGGTGCCTGTGGAAAATGAGAACCACCAGGTGAGAACCATAGCATCCCCTTTCTGTACTCACTCAAAACTTTCCCCAACAGTGTTGTACATAGGTTAGAGGAAGCAGAAATCTGGCAAGCTGCGTAGAAAGAATGAACTCTTTCTTCTGGTGGTCTCTTTTTTTGTTCATTGGAGCTCTTTTGGTTCTACTTAGATCTACTACTGAGGTACTATGCTCAGATTATCAAACACATTTCACAGAATATAGAAGAGACAAGTCATTATTTCCCGGCTTTAGAATGAGTACTGATTCTGGGCATGTGAATATCACATGCCATGATGCAGAATATTCAGAATTGTGTTCCAACCTTACACAGCCTGCTCCTGTTGACGGTCTGGTTTTTCCCAGTCACCTTTCTTAGGATGCCAGGATTCAGGGGGTGATTCCTTCCTCTTTCCTCTTGGGAAGGAGTGGTTCTTTGTGCTCTTCCCCCATCCCTGCTTTTGGGCTGGCTGGCTTTATAAAGACTCTGCTGTTTTGAATTTTCAGGAGCACTGTCTCTCGGACATGGTTGCCCAGCTCCGGACGCTGAAGGGTGCAATAAGGTTGGCCGTCCTTTCAGGACACTCCTTTCCTGACAGCCACCATAGCACCCAGATATCTTCCTGACCCAACCTTGCCTTTCTGCATGATTTTTCTCGTACCCAGACAGACCTGCTAGTCGCATGTTAGATTCACCTTCCATCTGTTTTGTGTGGGCAGGTCACACTGGTGAGGAGAGAGGCAATTTACTAGTCTTTCTTCTTTTGACATGCGGCCAAGACCCAGGCATATGAAGGATCAGGCTTCATATTCTAATGTCTTTGTTTAATAGTCTGATCTAGAGATAGGAGATTTTCTGGGATTGCCCTGTCCTCATTCAGTTTTCCTCCCCCTTTGTATTCCTTCACTTTAATCATTCATACTGTTTTCATAAGCTGGCTCTCCCACAAGAATCCAGGTGCATGTGTCTGTGTGTATTTATGTTAGTCTCTTGCATGCATTTCTCCAAGAACAGCACATTCCTTGCTGCGATGCTTTTTCCCTCTATTCCTACCCCTCATCACATATCTCAGAGGACTGAAAGCCCAGCCTCAGACTGGGTCACAAAAGATAATTAGATGGTGATTAGGGTGCCTGGGTTTATGTTGTGGGTGGGATAACTCTAGGAGTTGAAAAGTACTTTGGGGGAGGTCTTTTAGTGTTCATCTGATAAGGTTGTTAACTGAACTTACCTGGGTTGAGTGTTTTAGTGTACTTTACTGCTCACTGTTTGTTTTGTATACGAAACAGATTCTTTTTGTTTGGTGAAGTGTTCTTTCCTAGCATCAGAAGGATTGACTCATCTTTTGGTATCTGGTTTGAAATTGGGATTTTTATGAAGCATTTCTTTCTTTGCTAGGTATTCATGAATCCACCGAAGATCCCTACTGTTCAGGATATGGCTGGATTTAATAACAAGACAGTTGGTTGTGAGGAAGTTGATAGCCCTCGCCTGCCTCCATCCATTGAAAAAGAAGGCAGAATACCTCCTCTTCGACTTAAATCTCTGGATTCTAGTGTGTTTCGCTCTTCCAGGTAGATTTTTTTTTTTTTTTAAAGGATAATCTCCCCTCAATAGTAAGCCCCAGGGCCCATTTTCCAGTACCATAAGTTGGTCTGTTTTATCATGTTTATGATTCTTTAATGCTTAGCATGGAATTAAGAGGGATAAAAACCATTTGAGCTTGCTAGAATTGTGTATTACCTGTTCCCTTAATTTTTCCGACATTCCAACTGCTATGTAAAATGTGTCTTTATTTACTGAATGTGTATTATGTCTATACATTGGGCTGAAAATTGTGCAAGTGAAATAATGGATGTGGAAACTCTTTGAAAAGTATTAAGTGCTTTCCTTAAATTTATGGATATTGAAATCTTCTGTGGCTAGTTATGTATAAAAATAACTTAGAAGTTGGTCTCAGCCACTTGGTAAGCCTTTCGTGCTCATTGTTTTCTGGAGTAAATTATTCATGCTTTGCTTGTTCTTCATTAAGTACCTCATTAATATTATTTTGTTGGTCTTTATAACAGGAAGGAGCATAATTCTTCTTTTTGTAACTTTCAAGAGTATTTAAGGCATGGGTATGACTGCACCCATACTGCCAAGCTCCTAATTGTGACCCCCTTGCTTTCTCTTTTCTGCTGTGCTGCTCTCTTCTGGCAGAGCTGAGCCATGGGGCTCACACAGAGTTGCTCTCTAATAGTAGAAACATCTACCGTCATCATATTATACAGTGGGATGTGAACTTCTTATTGACCCATTTCAGTCTGGCTCTCTTTTTAGCAAATTATTGGATACAGGCAACAGAACCCATAATGTAGAAATTACTCCTGGTTTCCCCTTCCCCTGCTCCCTCTCATTACTGGTTATTTCCCCAATTTTCTGCTTCTTAGGCAAGTTCTTTCAGCTTTTTGTTTAGGCAAATATCTCTATAGATGTGATTATATCTGTTCAGCGATTCTTCTACAATTATTCCTGGTAGATATTGGAAGGCGTCATGACCCACTGAACGTTAACAAAAAAATCTCAAGAGAAAGTAAGTTTTTAGGAGTGAAGCTAATGAAACTCTAAAACAGTTGAAAGTATGTATGAAAGCATCTACAACAGTGCAGTGCCTATAGTTTTTGTGTTGGTTTGCCATCAAGACGGTTCCAACTCATAGTGACCCTGTAATGGCTGGTAAGTTTGAACCACCAACCTTGCGGTCCAGGGCTTATCCTACAATGCTACAATAGGTACTCAATAAGCATTGATTCTGAATCTTATTGAAGGAACAATTCCTAAGATTGAATTATGCAGCAAGGGGAAAGAAATACAGTTCAGCCTTAATCTTAGGAGCTTGAACCTAATCCTTCCCTGAGTCCATCTTACCCTTTCTAATTTCCACTGGAGGTTGGGAGAGGTGTAGAATGAGCGCTGTGTGGTTTTGGGCATTGCCCTTGAAGGTTATCCTTTTTCTCCTATGGCCTCCCTCCTGCGCCCCCTCCCCCCAGTGGTTCTTTTGTAACCAAGTAGTGGTTTTTAGTAACCTAAGTGCTAACTTTATGGATGTGTGCATTTTATGAATGCAGTGTGGCAGTACTTCCATTGGGTGGCATACTTTGTCAGTCTCTATTGGGATTTTTGGTATAAGTCTTTGTGGAACTGCTATATCTAGAGTGGAGTTTTTGTTGTAGAAGACAGATCAAACAAAGATACTTTGACCATTTATACATGTTTTTAATCTATTGAGACTATGATTCTTTTATAAAAAGAGAGCCACGATGATGGATGCTGTTAATGTCATGTGTTAACATAAGTTCAGGAAATGATAATGATTATGTCGTTTAAAGCTACATGTATAAGGGGATTCAGATTGATTAAGAAGAGTCTGCATTTTCTGTTTGGCTAGAAAAGAGGCATTTAAGAGCTTAGTATAGTATATAGGGTTTCTGGTAAAGTAATGGTAATGGGATAATAGGTTTCATCATGAGTAATATAGCTTTCCTTGCCTCATTGTCAAAACCTGAAGCTGGTATTATATACAGTACAGCTTTCTATCTCTAGATAAAATAAAGCCTACACTATCCAAGAGAGTTTTAAAGAGTTCCAGCCGTGCAGCTTGCATGCCCTTAGCAGAAAACGCAGGGATGTTACTGGAAATAGCTTTGATTCTTACAAATGTAGAAAGGAGGGGACTTGTAGTAAATATTTTTCAGCCAGTATGTAAGCAGACATATAACCTGCTAGTGGAAGACAGCTTATTTCTGTTAAAGGAAATAATCCCTGCTGTTTATTTAGTCTATGTATATTTGAGTGTTTACAATATAGAAGCTACTGTTTTAGGGCAGTGAGGAAATCAGTGAAGGAGCTTATAATAGTTCTAGGAGCGATATAAAATTAGGTCTCAAGTAACCAGAAGCATATGGAGAAAGGGAAAAAATTGATTGGATGTAATTTATTTAGGTAGAGTCCTGGTGTCACACTCTAGGATAAACACTGGGCAGAAAGATCGGTTTGAACCACCAAGTTGGTGATTCAGACTCACCAGCCAGCCGCTCCTCAGAAACCCTATGGGTCATTATGAGTCGGAATCGATTCAATGGCACTTAACAACAACAACAAATTTATTTCGGTATTTAAAACAACTTTTGAGTAAGCCATAAGCTAGTTAGTTCATGCTTCAAAAAGAAACGTCTGAATTACACTGTAATATGGGAGAACAGGAGGGACATTTTAATATATTTTAAGGGAGTATTTGAAACAAACAAGGAGTAGAAATAGGACAATTTTAGAAATAAATTAGATTAACTCAAGGGCCAGTATTACCATTTTAAAATATGATTTGGGAGAACAATTTCCAAAATGGAGAAGTAAGCATGGTGGGCTTTCTTCACAACTAATAAACATTTAACTGAAGAAAATTATATATACATATATAAAAACAAAATAAGCATTTAAAGTTTTTGTAAATTGTCTTAAGAGCGTAGAACAAGAAGAGAAATAAGTATGCAAGAATCTACTAAAACTTAATAAAAACGTCAAGAGTCTTTGGAATTTGAGACATAGCCTGCTCTCTCTGCCACCAAGCGCTGCCTTATGAAAGCTATTCTGAGAGCTCTAATACAGGCGGGTGCAGGCAAGAAGATGTGGACTCCCTCTTCCCCTAACTCTAGAGGAAGTGTTTCTTATATTCCCCAGTCCCAAACAAATTGTAGAAGCTCTATTCCAGGCAAACCTGAGAAGACAAGGTCTCTCTTTCCCTGCCTACCTCCCTTTATCCCCACCTAGCTCCTACTCATAGGGTGGAAGCAGTACCCCAGGTGGAGCAAGCTGAGAATACTAGGCCCCTACATAGCCCACCCCAGCTTGCTCATAGAGCAAAGATTCAACACTGGGAGGAGCAAGCAAGGACACTAGGGCCACAACCATTTCTTGTGACATAGAGGTTCTGCCCAGCGAGAGAGGCAGGCTTTCAGGAAGAGAAACTCCATAGCTCTACCCAAGGAAACTGACTTGATTTGGAACAAAGCATGGCAAATTGCTTCTCTAGGGGGATTGCCAAAACCATTGGAATTGGAGATTTGTGGGGAGGGCAGTTAAGAGAGCACTTTGGAGCGCCATGATACAAGTAGCAACAAGCAAAATGGAAGAGCAAAAGGGATAGCCAAGAAGAATCCAGCTGGGATCACAGTTAGTCCTGGGGTCAGAAAGGTTGTGTACTCCTAGATGCACCCACTCAGACGTCATCAGAGCCAGAAGGAAGACAGACTTGAAAGTGTTCCCCAAGTCACGCCCATGCCCAAATCAAAGAACAAAGGACAGAACCTCCCTGGCATTCAGGGCTTCAGCACAATCTCTGACAAGCACTCCTAAATAACCAGTGGAACAGTGAAAGACAGCACAAGAGAAACTAGAAAATATCTTGAGAAGAAAGTGAAAACACAACATACAATATGAGATGAAACTAAACAAATGCTCACCGGGAAACTTATGTTTGCAAATGCTTGTGTTAAAATTGAGCAAATATTTCAGATCAGTAACCTAGCTGTTCACTTTAAGAAGCTACAAGATAAGCCTGAACTCAAACCAACAAAGAAGGAAATCAAGATTAGACGAGAAATAAGTGAAATAAAGAATAGAAAAACAAATCCATTGAGCCTAAAGTGAATTCTTTGAGAAAAGATCAGAAAAATTGATACAATTTCATCTAGATTGACCAGAGAGAGAGAGAGAGAGACGGAACATGTCATATGACTAAAATGAAAAATGGGACATCAGTACTGACCTTCAAAAATAAAAAAAGGATTATTAGGAATAGCTGCGTGTCAGCAATTTAGATAGCTTGGTTGAAATTTATACATTCTTAGAAAAACTGCCAAAACTAATTCAAGAAGAAATAGAAAACCTGAATAGATTAATAACAAGCAAAGAGACTGAATTAATAATCTTTAAAAAAATGAAATTTTACACAGAGAACCCCAGGCCCAGATGGCTTTACTAGTAAATTCTACCAAACATTAAGCAAATTAATACCAAACCCTTCGTAAACTCTTCCAAAAAGTAGTAGAGGATAGAATGTTTTCCAACTCACTGTATGAGGGCCAGTGGTTACCCTGATACCAAAACCAGATAGAAACATCACAAGAAAATAACTGAAGATCATCTCTTACGGAATGGTGTAAAAATCTACAAAACAATATAGCAGTAGAAAAGACAATATATACCGTACACCATGACCAAATGGGATGTGTCCCAAGAATGCAAAAGTGGTTCAACATGAGAACATCAATATAATATACCATATCAATAGAAAAAAGGAGAAAAACTACATGATCGTCTTAATAGATGCAGAAAAATGATTTGACAAAATACTGGTGCTGGTGGTTGTGTGCCATTGAGTCAGTTTGTACTCATAGGGTTTCCAAAGCTCTGAATCTGTACGGGAGTAGAAAACCTTATCTTTTTTCTTTGGAGAAATAGATTTGAACTTCTGATCTTGTGGTTAGCAGCAGAGCTCATAATCCACTATGCTACCAGAACTCCTTGACAAAAT